TAGAGAAGCTGAGGCAGGAGGACTGCCATCCTGGACTACACGCTGAGAGACCCTGTCTCAGAAAAGAAAAAAAAAAAGGCTGGGGATTTAGCTCAGTGGTTCCCCTGCCTGCCTCGCATGCACAAGGGCCTGAGTTAAAAAAAAAAAAAAGGGGGCCAAGGATTTAGCTCACTGGTTCTGCCGCCTACCCTGCAAGTGCAAGGTCCCAAGTTTGATCCCTGGTACCAAAAAATTCTTAGGAAAAAAACCCCCAAAAATGTTTAGAAAAATGACATTTATAAAATATATGCATTTACATGTTACACCCATTTATATACAAATATATGCATTTGTTTACATTGTTATTCCTAAAACACATATAAAAGAATATACAGAAAATTGTTACCAGTAAAAAGTGCACTCGGAATGGGAAAGGATTACAGACTTTTAGTTCTGTTTACCTTATATCTGTACTTCTGTGTAATCTCAAGGTCTTACAAAAATAAGCAGTTTGATTTTTTGGTAATAACTGAAAAAGTATTTGCAAAGCACCTTTATTATGAATTGTAATGAGGATTTTATGTTTAGACAATAGCATAAAAGCCTAAAAAGGCACTTAGCACATTTATGTAACAGGGCTATAATTTTCCAGGTGGCTGGCTTTTCCTATACATTGTCAGTTCTAGTTCAGCATCCTGAAATGTCTTCCAGAGTAACCTCTAACTAGTTATGAGTAAATTTACTGATCCACAGTAACTTTGGCTACAAAGTTAACTAGTGGAAGTCTGAAAATCACCTAGAGAGGCACAATATTTATTTATTTTAAAAAATTGCTATTCCTTGCCAACAATACTGTGTCCTATCAAATCCACCCTCTCTGGGCAGAAGAAACTGAGATGGGGTTGAGAGACCAAAAGGCAAAAAACACAGGGGTAAGATCTTTCTATATTAGCAGTATTTTTAGTTACAGTAGTGTAAGAACCAAGTTCCCTGTTTCCCAGGAAATTTTTTGTATTCTTGTCCCGCCAAAAAAGGGAATTCAGAATAATAAAAAATATTTTTATTTTAATGCACCTATTAGGAGTCAACTGCTGTGCTAAGTGTCTCAGAAGCATATTTTACTGTCCCCGCTTTATCTAAGAATAAGCAAGTTTAAAAAATCATAAGGTACCCAAATCACAAATTTTGCTCTTTTCTTAAATCACTCTTCTTGATTTGCTATTTACCAAAAAAGTAATATTTTAATGTATAACTTACATTTTACTAACTTATCATCAAACAAACTTGTTTGTACAGTGCTATTTTTTTCAGTCCTCAACCCCCTCCCCAAACTGGCACTCAATCAACCCTTAGAAGTCACACAAAGCACCCTTTCAATCCCTCATTTTAGAGATGAGGAGCCAAAGACCCAGGAAGTTCATGTGGGCCCTTCTCTATACAGCTCCTTTACAGGAAATTCCAAAGTCCTCCTGTGTTCTCCAGATCCAAGTGCTTCACAATGACGACTCTGCCACTAACTTTACAGAGAAAACAGAAGCCATCAGGCATGAATTCTATTTCTTTCTGCCCTACAGCTAAATTTACACTCTTGAGTCAGAGAAATTCTACCAGCGAGTTATCTATTTTTCTGTTCCTTCAACTTATCCCTCTCTACTGGTTTTCCTCAGGGACACAACATGCATGTGCAGTATGTATTTGCTTCCACCTGAAAAGAAAAAAACTCTTCTTTAAATGCTGCCCTATTTCTTTTCCTTTTAAACCAAGCTCCTCTGAAAGCACAATTTACACGGGATGCTTCCATTAACTTTTCTACCATTCGATAAAACACATATTCTTCCCTCATTATGCTACAGACTTTGCTCTCCCAAAGGTTATTAACACCAAAAGCTAACAATTTTCAAACTATCAAATCTTCATCCTGATCTAACCTTTTTGTTGACTTTAATATCCAAATCAATCGGACTCCAAAATTCATGCTTTAACCATTATGTGCTACTACTTGGGCCTAACCATACTTAAAAGGCATCCAAATTTCCTTCTCTGTTTCAGCCACTCAGGGAAACAATAAATTTCCTAAATATCTCTGATAATATTTCCTACTGATGATTCCTAGGCGTGCAATTTAGCAAGTTCACTTAAATCCAACCTGGATTTCCTCCTTAAAAGCAAGATTCACAATATGGCACAGAAAATAATCACCTCTCTTCGGTGACTAGCTTTGATGGACCATATTCAATGCTACTTTCGCATTACATTAAGACTGGAGTGAAAGAAAGTGACATTTTGTAGAAACAGCGTAAGTAACCACTCAGTTTAGCAGAGAATACAAGAGAATCAACAGTATGTACCTGTGACATGATGGTTATTGTTAATATAAGTTACCTGTAACGGTCTTTTTTCATCATCCATATGGCCTGATTTGTTTTCAGATTTAAATGAGTTCTGCTTTGCAGGACGAGAGCAATAAATAAATTAGCAAGGACACCAGCATTCCAGGCAGGGCCTTCTGGCCCGTAAAGGTCCCCAGGGCTGAACCTCCTTTGGCCTGACCAAACCCCTTCACTGCCTGCCACCCGAGACAGGCTGTCAGTACTCAAATTCACCTCTTAGAGATTTCTCAGCTCCGAGGGTCTAGAAAAGTATTCCCCTCACACTGAAAGGCTTGCAGTAAAGTGACAATCCGTGTTCCCCTCGCACGTTGTCGTTCAGTCCTTCTGGAAAAATGTATCCGGACAATCAAAAAAAGGACAAGCGCAGCTGATATTAGCACCAGAAACACTTTTCAAACCCTCTCTGCGAAGTACGCTCCGCCGGAGGTGACGCACGCGCGCGCCCGGAACTGGCGCGCAAACAATGCCTGCTTCTTCCGTTCCGGGCTTCTTGAGGGCCGGGCGGGAGAATTCGGGAGGGGCTCGGACACCGTTTCTGTTTCCTGGCCATGGGCCCGCGGAGCCGTGAGCGCCGGGCAGGAACAGTACGGAGCACCAACGAATGCAGCGCCCTCAGCAAGAGTTCTCTGGCTTCGCGTGGGTACGTGCACGACGCCTTCACCTCACTGCTGGTTCCGGGGGCCGCGCGCCGCGCGCCGTTAATCCACCGGGGCTACTACGTCCGCTCGCGCGCCGTGGAGCACTGCGTGCACGCCTTCTTGCGGCTGACCAGCGCTGTCCCCGGGCCGCCTCGCGCCCAGGTCCTGTCACTCGGCGCAGGCTCGGACTCGCTGTATTTTCGCCTCAAAGCTGCGGGCCTTCTGGCCGGGGCTGGCGTCTGGGAAGTGGATTTCCCGGATGTGGCGCGGCGCAAGATGGAGAGGATCAGGGAGACGCCAGAACTGTGCAAGTTAATTGGGCCTTTCCAAAGTGGGGGTCCGGAGTCGCCGCTGTGCCTGGAGAGCTTGGACTACCGCATCCTGGGCCTGGACCTGCGGCAGCTGGGGCGACTGGACGAAGCCTTGGACTCTGCGGGCCTGGACGCGGCCACACCCACTCTGCTCCTGGCAGAGGCTGTGCTCACTTACCTCCAATCCAGCAGTGCCTCAGCCCTCATCGCCTGGGCTGCCCAGCGTTTTTCTAGTGCCCTTTTCGTTATCTATGAGCAAATGAAGCCTCAAGATGCCTTTGGGCAGGTCATGTTGCAACATTTTCAACAGCTGAATTCTCCCCTGCATGGTCTGCACCTCTTTCCAGACGTGGAGGCCCAGCGTCGCCGCTTCCTTCAAGCTGGCTGGACTGCCTGCAGTGCCATGGATATGAATGAATTCTACCACTGCTTTCTTCCTGCAGAAGAACGTCAGCGGATGGAACATCTTGAACCCTTTGATGAGTTTGAGGAGTGGCATCTGAAGTGCTCCCACTATTTCATTCTGACAGCTTCTAGGGGAGACACCTTCTCCCAGACTCTGGTGTTGCCTCCCTCAGAGGTATTTCCTCGAGTAGATCCTGCTTCACCTTTGGGGGTCTTTCCTGCCAAAGTGGTCACTAATGGCAGCCAGGGTTCAAACCTTAGGAGATATGGCCATGCCTCTGTCCTCTTTTGCCCAGGCATTGTTCTCAGCGCAGGAGGATTTGGAGAACAGGAAGGACAGCACTGCCGAGTGAGCAAATTTCACTTGTTGTCAAGATACTGTGGTGTTGGATGGAAAGACAGCCAAATATGTAGTTGGGGAACTGGACTCCAGTGGGATGGACGCCTTTATCATACCATGTCAAGACTTTCAGATACTCAGGTTCTGGTTCTGGGAGGAAGATTGTCTCCACTAAGTCCAGCCTTGGGGGCGCTCCAACTTCATTTATGTAAGAGTGAAGATAATAGCATGGAAGCCCTGAATGTGGTAGTAACAAAGTTTGACTCGGAGGATTACACTTTGTCATGTTGGCGGCATTCAACAACAGAAGTATCTTATCAGAATGAGAAATATTTGTTTGTGTATGGAGGTCGGAACGTAGTGGAACCAGTGCTAAGTGACTGGCATTTCCTACACGTAGGAAAAATGGCTTGGGTCAAGATCCCAGTGGAAGGGGATGCACCTGGAGCTCGGCATTCCCATAGTGCCTGCCCTTGGCAAGGGGGAGCTCTTATTGCTGGGGGTCTTGGAGCTTCTGAAGAGCCATTGAAATCTGTAGTTTTCCTGAGGCCAATTTCTTGTGGATTCCTGTGGGAATCAGTAGATATCCAGCCTCCCATTACCCCAAGGTACTCCCACACATCTCATGTATTCAATGGACAGCTTCTCCTGGTTGGAGGGGTCTGGATTCATTCCTCCTCAGTTCCTGGAGTGACCGTTATCAATCTGACTACAGGATTGAGCTCTGAATATCAGATTGACACAACATGTGTGCCTTGGCCATTAATGTTACACAACCATACCAGCATTCTCCTTCCTGAAGAGAAACAGCTCCTACTCCTGGGAGGTGGTGGGAACTGCTTTTCCTTTGGCACTTACTTCAACCCCCATACAGTGACACTAGACCTTTTTTCTTTAAGTCCTGAGCAGTAAAGATGATGCTTGATATATTCGGGATCCACTAAAGTAAACAATAAAGGTTTCCCCAAAGGTACCTTGAATTTGGTTATAGATATTGCCATGCCTCCACCATTCCCTTTTATTCCTTAGCACTATTAAGTCCAGAAAGTGAGAAAGTTGCTAAAATACCAACAATCAGAGAAATAGTACAAAGATAAAACAGGAAACTGTTCACACAGCAGTAAAGTAGACTTCTGCATTCATATATCCAGTTTATTGGACTTCTATCAATTTTCAAATCTAATATCCATTTATTGAGTGAAAAAGTAAAAGCAAAGCCAGGTGTGGTGGCACATGCTTGTAATACCAGCATATGGTAGGGTGAGGCAGGAGGATTGCCATGAGTTCAAGGCCAGTCTGAACTGTACAGCGAGACCCTGTCTCAAAAAAAAAGACCTTTTCCAACTTGGCCTTTGTGATTTGAGATTGTACCTTGGAAAAAGTTTCACACAGATTCATAGTAAGAATACAAGGTTGGGGTGAAGTGGGTGGAGGGAGGGCAGCGGGTATGGGGACAAAATAAGATATCATGTAAAGGTACAAGATCCAATGATAAATAACTATTGTTTGCTTTAAATGTACCAATAAACTTAATGGGGGAAAGAATTTTAAAAAAAGAATACAAGGTTGAATTTAGTTTGAGAAACATATAATTGACCTAATTCTTTGTGAAACCTGAAATAAACACAGTTGTTTAAGTTACTGTGCTCTTAACTGCAACATAAAATTCAGTTTTAATGAGAAATTTATACAACTGTTGAAAACCATGCTTTTGATCAAGTTTTGCCACAGGTCTTATATTTATTTAAATGTATAAATGCCCATAAACCAAACTTTGATGTCTTAATTCATTTTAACCATAATGTTTTGCTCCAGATCTGTTCTAACCAGCCATCATTGTGTTCTGTGCCCCAAGTAGCTTACCTTTTTGGACTGTGCCAATCAGCTTTTGAGTTCCATTGGTTAGAGGTACGAAAGGGAATGAGAGCAAGAAGAGTGAGTCCGTATTTCCAGCCTTCTCCCTGCCATTGTACAGGTTGGTAGCCGCAGCTGCACTCTTCAGCCAAAAGCTACAGCTCTTGTCGTATAGTCTTCTCCTATAAGATAGAGTTCTAATTCTGTATCACTCTAGGCTTCAGTAATCTTTTCCTTGACTTCTTCAGGCCTAGAAGTTGTAATGGCTCATTGTTAGACCTGAGCTGCACTTCCCAAAGTTTTTTTAATTAAAATTAATTCAGGGCTGGGGATTTAGCTCAGTGGTTCTGCAGCCTGCCTTGCAAGCTCAAGGTCCTGAGTTTGATCCCCAGTGCCCCCCACACACAAAAAAATTCAGCTGACTTGTTTGCCCTAACCACCTTTTAAAGGTTCAGTAGCCACGTGAGGTTAATAGCTTCATTAGACAATGTAGATGTAAAATATCTTTATTGCTGAAAGATCTAACTGCAGAGGTATTTTACCATCTTGATTTAGTTTCCCTTAATCCTGCTCACCACCTTATAATGGCATATCCACTAAACTCAGTTGTCTCCTTAAATGCTGGAACAATCTTTCCTGATGAGTCTTTAAGAGGTCAACAAAATTTTAGATATTAAGGCTGATAATTTGATTCCTAATTTGTCATCTAAATTGCAAGTATCTCATGAAATTCATATCTCAATAAGTAGTTGTGTGCTGGGCATAGTAGTACAAGCCTGTAATCTCAGAACTCAGAAGACTAAGGCAGGAGGATCCCTGCAAGTTTGAGCCCAGCCTTGGTTATCTATTGAGTTCGAGGCCAGCCTGAACTACATAGTAAGACCCTGTCTCGAAACAAAACTGGTGGTGGTGGTACTAAGTGGTATCGAGATTATATAAATATCTGAATATTATTAAATGTCAAATCTTTTTTTTTTTTTTTAGTCTTTTTTATTGAGTTTATTGGTACATTTTTTTTTATTGAGTTTATTGGTACATTTAGGGATACAGTACAGTTACATTCATTGTTGGGATCATGTACCTTTACATGGCAAGTCTTGATTCTCATTTTTTTCCCCTTACCTCTGCCCTCCCTTCACCCCCTCCTCCCCTCCCCATCTACAAACACTTTATTTTCATCTTTTCATTCTCTCACATTTTTTTCTTTTCCCTTTTTGTTCTTCCCCTACGTATCACACCTTCCCTACACCTTTAGCTCCTTTCCTCCCATTTCTAAATGTCAGTAATCTTATTAGAATCTTATGCATTGTTGCAGAATATTCACACCAGGGAAACTATTTGGTATTTACACATGTGGGACTTATTTATTTCACTTAGGAGTATATCTTCAATATGTATCCATTTTCCTATGAATGAATCTATTCTCTCGCTCTTTATGGCTGAGTAATATTCCATTTTATAGAAAAACCACATCTTCTTTATCCAGTTTCCAACGGATGGGCAAATAGGTTGTTTCCAAGATTTAGCTATTACAAACTGTGCCGCTATAAACATGGGTGCACATACTTCTCTGTGATATGATTCTTTTAGTTCTCTTGGAAAGATACCCAACAGAGGGATGGCTGGGTCAAATGGAACCTCCAGTCCAAGCTCTTTGAGGTATCTCCATATTGATTTCCATAGTGGTTGCACTAGTCTGCACTCCCACCAACAATGGAGGAGGGTTCCTTTCTCCCCACAACCCCGCCAACATTTGTTATTGTGTGATTTCTTGATAGCAGCCATTCTTTGTGGGGTGAGGTGGAATCTCAGTGTTGTTTTCATCTGCATCTCTCGAATGACCAGTGATGTGGAACATTTTTTCATATATTTTCTTGCTGCTTTCACTTCTTTGTATGAGAAATGTCTGTTCATTTCGGATGCCCATTTTTGGATCGGGTCTTTATATTTGGGGGGACTGATTGTTTTGAGTTCTTTATATATCCTTGATAATAGTCCTTTGTCTGAGGTACAGCTGGTAAAAATTTTTTCCCACATTGTAGATTGTCTCTTAGTTCTGCTAATGGTTTCTTTTGAAGTACAGAAGCTTTTTAGTAAGATGAGATCCCAGTTGTTGATTCTTTCTGCTAGTTCCCGTGCTACTGAGGATTTGTTCATAAAGTCTTTTCCTATACCAATGTCTTCCAGAGTTCTGCCTAACTTACTTTCCAGCAAGTTTAATGTTTCTGTTTTAATATTTAGATCTTTAATCCATTTGGATTTTAATTTAGTGCATGGCGAAAGATAAGGGTCTAATTTTAATCTGTGACAGGTTGATATCCAGTTTTTCCAACACCATTTATTAAAGAGGCTATCTTTCCTCCACTGAGGATGGTGAGCTCCTTTGTCGAAGATGAGGTAGCTGAGTACATCTGCATTTGTTTTTGTGTCTTCCAGTCTGTTCCATTGATCCTCAGGCCTATTTCTTTGCCAGTACCATGCTGATTTTATCACAGTGGCTTTGTAGTATAGTTTCAAATTGGGAATTGTTACACCTGGTGCCATGTGACTGTTGCCTATAATGGCTTTTGCTATTCTAGGTCTCTTGTGGTTCCAAATGAATTTTTGGATTCTTTTTTCTAGTTCTGTGAAATATAGTGTTGGAATTTCAATTGGCATTGCATTGAATGTATATAGCAGTTTCGGTAGTATGGCCATTTTCACTATGTTGATTCTTCCTACCCAGGAGCAGGGGATATCTTTCCATTTTTTTATATCCTCTTCGATTTCTTTTTTCAGAGTGCTGTAGTTTTCAGTGTAGAGATCTTTTGTTTCTTTTGTTAGATTGATTCCTAGATACTTCATTTTTTTGGATGCTATTGTAAAAGGAATTTTTTCCCTTATTTCTCTTTCTGTCTGTCTGTTATTTGTGTATAGAAAGGCTATTGATTTTTGGGTATTCACCTTGTATCCAGATACTTTACTGAATCTGTCAATTAAGTCTAGAAGTTTTTTGGTGGAGTTTTTTGGATCTTCAATGTAGAGTATCATATCATCAGCAAATAATGATAGTTTAACTTCTTCCTTTCCTATCTTTATTGCTTTAATTTCTTTCTCTTGTCTAATTGCTGTGGCTAATGTTTCCAGAACTATATTGAAGAGAAGTGGCGATAGTGGGCATCCTTGTCTTGTTCCTGATTTTAACATGAAGGTTTTCAGTTTTTGGCCATTCAATATGATGTTGGCTGATGGTTTTTCATAAATAGCCTTTATTAAATTGAGGTATAGACCATCTATTCCAATTTTTTGCAGGGTTTTTATCATGAATGGGTGTTGAATTTTATCAAATGCTTTTTCTGCATCTATTGAGAGGATCATATGGTTTTTGTCCTTGACTTTGTTAATATAATGTATTACATTCACTGACTTTCGTATGTTGAACCACCCTTGCATCTCTGGAATAAATCCGACTTGGTCATGATGGATGATCTTCTTAATAATCCTCTGTATTCTGTTTGCTAGTATCTTATTAAGGATTTTTGCATCTATATTCATTAAGGAGATTGGTCTGTAGTTCTCCTTTTTGGTTGTATCTTTCTCTGGTTTGGGAATCAGAGTGATACTTGCTTCCAGGAATGAATTTGGAAGTATAGCTTCTCTTTCAATTTCATTGAAAAGTTTGAAGAGTAATGGTAGTAGTTCTTCTCTAAATGTCTTGTAAAATTCAGCAGTGAATCCATCAGGGCCTGGGCTTTTCTTTGTTGGTAAGTTTTTAATTACATTTTCAATTTCACTGATTGTGATTGGGGTGTTTAAAATGTTTTTATCTTCTTCGTTCAACTTTGGTAATTCATAAGTATCTAGAAATCTGTCCATTTCTTCTGTGTTTTCCATTTTATTAGAGTACAGGTTCTCAAAGTAGGTGTTCATGATCCTCTGGATTTCTTTCGGATCTGTTGTGACTTCGCCTTTTTCATTCCTAATTGCATGGATCTGAGCCTTTTCTTTCCTTTTTTTGATAAGATTAGCTAAGGGTTTGTCAATTTTATTTATTCTTTCAAAAAACCAGCTCTTTGTTTCATTTATTTTTTGTATCGTTTTCTTAATTTCAATTGCATTGATTTCTGCTCGGATCTTTATAATTTCCTCTCTTGTTCGAGCTTTGGGTTTTTCTTGCTCTTGTTTTTCTAGGAGTCTAAGTTTCATCGTTAAGTTGTTTATTTGAGCCCGCTCTGTTTTCCTAGTGTGGGCATTCAATGTTATGAATTTTCCACGTAGAACTGCTTTCATTGTGTCCCAAAGATTCCTGTATGTTGTATTGGCATTCTCATTTATTTGTAAAAACTGTCTAATTTCTTCTTTAATTTCCTCTGTAATCCATTGATTGTTTAGGAGAGTGTTGTTCAGTTTCCATGTGCTTGT